GGAGCGGCTGGTAGTTTCGAACCGCTGACCTTAAGGTTCGCAGCCCAATCCGTAACCACTACGCTACCAGAGCTCCTTATAAGCAAAATTAGTCTATGATAATAGATGTCAGAATATAATTTGGAAGGAAGCGTCCTAAGGGGGTGACAATGTTCTATATCTTGGTCTGGGTGATAGTTTCACTGGTGTTGTGTGTATGAGTGTGTTAAAACTCATTAATAAAAGTTGTATATATCTTTCTGTCATGGATCGGCTGATGTATGCAAACTGCTAATCCTTGCAGTTAAAAGCCCAATTCTTAAGCCACTACACTTGCAGGGCTCCTATACGTAATATTAGTGCACTTTAGGTACTTTATGTATGCAATACCTCAATACACAAAGAGGCTAGAACGAGAGCGAGGAAGGGCACTGACTGTAAGGAGCAGTATATAGTAGTAAACCAAAGGTATTATTTAAGGAGAAAAGTCATTTAAGATTTGTGTTTGATAAAAAAAACTTGGGAGGTTGTTGTTAAGTGCCATCAAGTAAATTCCGACCCATAGCAACCCTGTATAGGGTTTCCAAAGAGCAGCTGCTTAGCTTGAACCACCAACTTTGCAGTTCAAACAACTTTGCAGTCTGATGAATTAGCCCACAGTGCCACACCGGGACTCCCGCCTCTGGGAGGTTAGAATGCAGATAAAAGGCCAGTTAGGAGACTATAACAATAGTCCAGGTAAGAAATAAGGGTCCAAACTAGGGCAAAATCAGTGGAGAAGGGACAATATTAAGGAGGTGAAATAAGTAAATGAAGAGATTAAAGAGAGTAAAAAGCAAAGAAAGGCTCACAACTTAGAAACTTTGTTAATTGCGGTATGGCATTATAGGATAAGTACTCAATCACAAGGTCGGTTTGAACTATAAGGTTGGCAGTTCAAACTCACCAGTCACTCCTTGGAAACCCTTTACAGGGTCACTATGAGTAGGAACCAACTCAAATGCACTTAACAACAACAACATTAGCTAACAGAGTAAAAAAAGAACAGGACTGGACTCAGTCTGGGTGTGCTTTTGTTAGTTTAAATAATATTTCATCATGTCGTTAGTGAAAGTTTACATAGCAGGTTAGGTTCCCATCCAATCAAATGATCTACGCAGGTTTTTCAATGGAGGAGGGTGATGGGGGAGGACTTCTAATAGATACAGGGATTCTTTCTGAGATGATGAGAATGTTCTGCAATTAAATAGTAGTGATAGTTGCACAAACTTGTAATATACTAAAATCTACTTTAACAGGGTGGAATTTATGCTATGTAAATTATATCTCAATTTAAAAACTGTCTTCAGCCACAGAAAGAGTCTCATTAGTCATACAAAGAATAGTAGTATGCATTGTAAAGATGACTAAATATTTAAAAATGGTATCACTGTTTAAAATCTTTTGTTTTGTAACTACTTAGAATACTGTTGTTAAGTGTCATCGAGTGGGCTGTGACTCACACAGCGACCCTATGTACAACAGAATGAAACGCCCCTGCACCATCCTCATATTTGTTATGTTTGAGCCCATTGTTGCTGCCACTATGTCAATCTATTTAGTTGAGGGTTTTCCTCTTTTCACTGACCCTCTACTTTTCTAAGCATGATATCCTTCTCCAGGGACTAGTCCCTCCTTACATCCTTATGTCCAAAGTGTGTGAGACAAAGTCCCACCATCCTTGCTTGTAAGGGGGTTGTATTTCTTCTAATACATATTTGTTTGTTCTTCTGGCAGTCAATGGCATATTCAATATTCTTCACCAACGCCAAAATCCAAATGCATCGATTCTTCTTCTGTCTTCCTATTATTCACTGTCCACATTTCTCATGCATATGAGGCAAGTGAAAATACCACGGGTTGGATCAGGTGCACCTTAGTCCTCAAAGTGACATCTCTGCTTTATAAAATATAGGCTGGACTACATGATTCCTTAAATTGTACTGTGTAATTCCATTATTAACCTACATCAAATAATATCAAAGCAGCTCTGCTCAAGCAAATTTATTAACTGATAGAGTACTCTCTTGCCTTGTAATCTTTAAGATACTAAATAAATGGTATCATAAGTATAAAGAGTAGGGAATCACCACACATATTCTAAATTAAACTTTCTATTATTTTTGAAACATGAAACTGAGATCTGCAGTATAAAGTAGAGCCAGAAGGCCTCATTTATAATCTTAGTTCCACTAATTATTTGTAATGTGACTGTGGACAAGTCATTAAACTCTCTGACTCTGTTTCTTTATCTAAAGAGTGAGGATAACAATATCTTCTTTGTTTAACCTATCTTTCTCTGTCCATATATGCATTGCTGTAGTTGTTATGAGCCGTGGAGTCGTTTCCGACTCATAGCGACCCTGTACAGGGTTTCCAAGGCTGTAAATCTTTACGGGAGCAGAGCGCCTCATCTTTCTCCTGCAGAACAGCTGGTAGTTTCGAAGTGCTGACCTTGCGGTTCGCAGCCCGATTCATAACCATTACAGTACCAGAGCATAGTACATCTATAATGAGTGTACAGTTCTTTGCGATAAAAGCCTCTACCTTCCATGAGGTAGTAGGAGGTAAACAAATCAAACCTTATCCTCTGTGAAGATGCTGGGGGAGGCAAAAGATGTTATGAGATAAGGAAGCAGGTTGGCTAGGGCTGATTACAATGATGACACATTAGTAGAGCACTGGATTCATAATCCTGGCTTATTTAAGGAGCTCAAGGGACAAAAATACACTTAACCTTTTCTTTTGTGATTTTAACAGAAATGGTGATGGGCAGCCTATAGGCAGGCATTTCTTCTGAACCTAGAAAAATCAACTGTCCAATGGCTGTGCTAATATTCTTTGTTTTTCATGATCCAATGAAACTGTATTTAAGAAAATTTTTATAACAGGCAGTGTTACAGATGTGGCCACCAGGCACTAGTTTGCATACTCCTGTGTCAACAGTTGGTTAAATGTTTGTGCTAATAATCTTAATACAGAAATATCTGACTTACATTTACAGTGATCCCACATATACTAGGGTACTTTGAAAAACCATAAGCATCTTTCCACTTCATAAAAAACAACTATCATAAATTTGTAGCAAAATAAAACGTGTATTTATTTTAATAAGGGTATTTACCAATTCTTTTAGTTAATGATGGTATTTTTTCAGCAGCTTTTGCCTAAAACAGAAATATGAATTATGAGTTAGAATTCTTTTTCACAGAATGCAATTACTTCCATTTAGAAATTACATTAATTGCAAATTATAAATCAGCTTTATTCCAATTCAACATATTAACATTCACATATTCAACATATTAATATTCACAAGAGGCCTACAGCCTGATGGAGCAAGGAAGACATTAATATATCACCTGATCCAATTCCTTTTACTTTACAAGACAAAAAGCTGAGGCCCAGTGAGATTAAATGACTTGATCAAGCTGATACAGTTAACCTGCAGAGCCATAATGACAGCTTTGGATTCCCATTTCTAGCCTGGGGCTTTTTCTACATAGTACTGATGTCTTGGTCTCTCCAGTTCGTATTATCAATTTAGATGCATTTTTGAGATTTTAAATAATGTCTGTAAAACATTTATAACTACTAATGAGTATACAACACTTTATGCAAAAGTCTAACTTCAGAAGCTAAGGGACTAAGAAAGGAGTCCTGGAGGTGCAATGGTTAATTTGGCTGCTAACCAAAAGGTCTGGAGTTTGAACCCACTAACAACAGCTCCAGGGAAGAAAAGACCTGGTGATCTCCCTCCCTCCCACAAAGATTACAGCCTAGGAAGCCCTATGGGGTAGTTCTACTCTGTCATATAGGGTTGGGATAGATCACATGGCACACAACAAGAAAGTACTACATATTTTAGTTCTGCAAGCCCATACTTTTCTCACTTTTAAATTTAGTTTCAAATAATATTAACGAAAAAACTCTTTCCTGAAATACCACATTTCTAGGGACCTTTTCATGTGATAATCTTTTCATTCATTTCAAGGAGTCCTGGTGTGGTATTGTAGGATAAGCCTGTAACTGCTAACCACAAGGTTGGTGGGTCAAACCCATCAGCTGCTCCTTGGAGACTCCATGCAAGTGCTGACTATATAGTCAGCAACTATAGTCAGAGCTGACTATCAGCACTTAACAACAGCAGCACATTAATTGCAAAAGGAAATGTGCAATACTGTTTTTACAATACAAATAACTACTTAAAACACAAGGTGAACAATAGTAACAATTTTAATTGCAATAATATTTTAAACAAATTATTCAGATAGGCTTTGCCTTTCATCCAATAGGTACAAATGTTGACGCCTCTATTTTTGCCTACAGTGATACTTCAATCAGCTTATCCTGATTCCCTTTGCATAAATATGCTTCAGGCAGGAGAAAAATAACAAGCACTCTTCAAGTTTTCCCCTAACAGCTCACTGCATGTTAATTTAAATTACTAGATTGTGATCTTTACATGAAGAAATCATTCTAACAAATTATATAATATTTGAAAGCATATATTTTACAATAATGACTTACCAGAGGCTCCTCAAGTGAACGGGTTAAATGAATATTGTTTACATATTCATGCCCCTTCTCTTCTAACAGATATTTACACCTAAACAATTAAAAGGAGGCCAAACTTTAGTAGTTGGTAAATTAGTAAAACCCAAGTAAAGATATCATTTCCATCATCTTAATTCCATTAATTTGCTTTTGGTATTTCTAAGGAAGCACAAAATAAAATGTTACCTAGTTCTGTGGGAGAAAGATGAGGCATTCTGCTCCTGTAAAGATTTACAGCCTCGGAAACTCCCGTACAGGATCGCTATGAGTCAGACCCGACTCCACGGTACAAAACAACAATTCCCATCCAAATGTCCCTTTAAGGTTAGAAAGATATGTTCCCTTTGTTACTCTATTTACATTGTTAGTAGCGCAAGAAACATCAACTTGAGATCCTCCCAATTTTTGAGCAAATGCTATTAAATCAGCACCTTGGCATTATAAAATAGTTGTAGTTAATCGTAACAGATTTTATTTCAGAGGACTAACCAACTATATATTTAAAAAGAATTCTTTAAGTTTTTCAACCTTCCTTTTAAAGACTGTTTAAGGCACAGGTTTATTTTCAAATGATCACCCTGAAGCTTTCAGTTGTATTTTGTTTTAAAAGAAACTTGAGGGAAAAGAGACATTTAGGGTATGTCCTCATTCTAAGATGCCACTTAAGAAGCATGATTATTTTATGTATCACCTGAAATCACTGCATTATGGCACACCATCAAGTGTAGGACGTGTTCTGATGCCAGAGATTTAAAAATGTGAACAGTTGTGTGTCTTAGAATCAATGCGATACAGTAATACTTCCCTTGACAGCATGGGTTCTTTTGTGTCTATCACGAAAGAGTTTAATTCTAACAACAAAAGAGGTATACATTTCTTAACTTTGTGTTTAGAAATGGAATAAATCTAAATGGCATAGCTATGATACACAAGCAATGAATGTCTTGGTCACCAGTGCTGGCTTAGGTGTTCTTTTTGTTGTTTTTTCCCCCTATAAAGTAGGTGATCCCATTTTTATAAACTGGTGTGAATTTCAAGCTATAGTGAAGGCAAAAATAGTTGAAGTGAAAAGTAATTCAAGTTTTCTCACTGCATACTGTCCAATTTGCCTGCTTATTGAATAAACACTTAAATACCTTACCCTGGATGCCACTTAGCATGTTGTTCCCAAGGATCTTCATTGTGCTTCCAATCAGTTAGCCCTCCTCCACAGTGAAAGCACATTACTTTATCTCCGTCACCTAAGAAAATAAGTGCAAATTCATGTGCTGGTATAATAAAAGCTGACACAAATATATGTGTCTTAACAGCTAAAATGTTAAAACATCTAAATTACATGACAATCTCATAGCTTGAGACAACATTCAAATTTATATATAAAGAACACATATAATCTTTATCACTTGAGCAGAAATGGTAACTAAATTCACAGACTTCTTGTGACGTATATAAAGGAAAACAAATATAAATCAAACTGTCCAATATTTATGCTGAAAATTATTATTGTTACATGTTTTAATAAGTCATTTGTGCAATTACTAATGCAGCTTGTTTTTGAACTTTCAAACATGTATGTTGCAAATATTGCTAACAATAAAGTTCAGCATAATAAAATTATAAGACATGTGTTTCCAAGATTATAGCTATACGATATTAAACAAAGCTTCAAGTTACTATATGATGCTATACAGATAAAATGCTGAAGTAACTGCTAGTTTGTGTTTTGGTATTGCTTTATCCTCAAAATAGACTGATCAGATACAAGAAGACTTCAAAAAGTTTGGGGAAAATGGAGTTAAAGAGAATGGAAATTTCTCATGAACTTATTGGAATCCCCTGGTATATTATGGCATAATTTATTAAAATTCTCTTGGAAGCCATCAGTCCTTTCTTGACATATTTACAGTAGTCTATTTGAAATGCATAAGGAGCTCTGGTAGTGTAGTGGCTACGAATCGGGCTGCGAACCACAAGATCAGCAGTTCAAAACTATCAGCTGTTCTGTAGGAGAAAGATGAGGCTTTCTGCTCCCGTAAAGATTTAAAGCCTCAGAAACCCTGTACAGGGTTGCTATGAGTCGGATCCAACTCCACAGCACACAACAACAACAATGTGAAATGCATATATTTGAAGCAATACAACAAAACACAGGGCTAGTTTTAAATATAAAATCCTATGTACTCAAGGAAGATATCAATTTTAATATTAGCCAATTAAACTCTCTACTGTTAACTCTTCTCATAAGGAAAATGTATGTACTGAATATACAGAGTAGGTGCTCAATAAATGATAGCTAGTGTTACTATTTTTCGGAACACCATGGCTCCACACAATAAGCACTGGACTGTAAACCAAAAGGTCAGTGGTTTGAGTCTACCAGCCACTCTGTGGGAGAAAGATTAAGGTTTCTGCTCCTGCAAAGATTTACAGCGTCAGAAACCCTATACAGGGTTGTTATGAGTTGGAACCGACTCCATGGCACTTAACAACAACAATTACTATTAGACCCATTCTTCCATCTGGCATATCAAAAAATTACATGAAGATCAATGTGACTCTCAATATGGCAGCTCTTCTCATAGAAATTCAGTGGATACATAAAAGACCCACCATAAGGATTCACAGAATAAAACTGGTATAAGTTAGGATGCCAGATCATACTTAAAAAAATTGACCAGCTCAGGGGACTAAAGACATCTATGTAGTTTTTAGGAGCTTTGTGCTAGTTGGAAAGTTATTAGCCTAGTTTTAAAATAAAGTTTACCTAAAGCATAAAATCCAGCTCTTGCCAGCTGCTCCTTGTTAACGGAGTATATCCACGTCCCAAAAGTCATGATCCGTGCTTCATAATCTGCCATGGCTGGATATCTTGGAGGATTTGTTGAATTTGAAAAATTCCTATCAGAACTCAAGACATCAAATTCACTTCGCGCATTAACATTCCGGCCCAAAACAAAGAAGCAATTGGGAAAGTGTCGCCTGTGTTCTGACCATGCACGATCACAAGGTTCCCAATTTTTCAGTTTTCCACCACAGCAAAAGCACTGTACTTGATCACCGATACCTGTGTAGTAGAGTCCAGCCCTAGCTAACTCTCTTGGGGTTAAGTGAGCATAGTCTGGCCAGTTCTGAAATGACTTCAACCTAGCTTCTTCACTACCCATTTCAGGATTACGTGGGTATATGGTGTCTGATAAATCTACAACTTGCCCAGTTCTCAAAAGATAGTCTGCCTGAGTCTCAGATGGCCTGTCTACAACAAAACGATTTCGGTTTCCTGGATAGTTTTCAGCTTTGTACTGACCATTTTGGACACCAGGATTTACAGGTTGTGCAGCATTGTTTTCCAAATAAAAGCCACTGATAAATTTGCAACTTGGGGATGCCTTCCCATGTCTTCCAATTGCTGAGTCTCCATATTGCCATCTATCAACTGTTGCATTACAACTAAAGCACCGCACAATGTCTCTTTCACCCGTATAGAGAAAACCAGCTCGTGCCAGTGTTGATGCTGAAACAGGACTACTACTTGGAAAATTAGCAAAAGTTTTTAATCTATCGAATTCTTCTACAAATTCTTCATCTTTATTGATGTCTGCAGGCACAAAAGTTTTACATCCTTCAAAATTGTTAAAAGTCATCTTCTCTTGAAATTATGACTTGTCCACTTTTCTAAAAAGAGAATATCACATTAGGAATCACAAAGTGTGAAACATAAACAATATGCTTAAAATTCAGAGCTAGCAAATGATTCACTGATGGCATAAAAATAATGATACAATCTCTAAGAAACATCCCGACTCTAAAAATTAAAGTTCTACATTAGTATGTGATACAAGTTATAAAGTAGAAACTACATCTATTCCCACTTTTTAAAGATAAGTAGTATCTAAAGTAGAATAGGAGACTATCCATTTTTAAGAGCTTATTTTACATAAATATGGAAACTATGTGATACAGAATGTATTATACTTATTAGCCATGAAAAACATTAGGAAAAATATGAAAGCATAAAATTGGCAGTCATAGAGTATATACATAATTTTTATAATGGATCATTGTACATTCAAAGTATCCAGGTTCAGTTTTTAAAATTAAAATCCAAATGTTTAGAATGTTAATGACTTAATTTTTAATATTTCTTTACCTGTTTCTTAGCAAATGTGTGTTATTACAATATTGGTTCCAATGTGTTTTTAAAAACCATCAAATGTTTTTGTTATTTCATGCATAAACCAGAGTCCATTTTTTTATTGCTGTTGGAAATTGGATCATTTAAGATACATGAGAGGGCTTCAGAAAGTTTGTGGGGAAATTCTATTATCTTATAATTCCATTTTTCCACGAACTTTTTGAAGTTCCCTCATATGTATATTTATGTATGTATACATTATCTATGGAGTCCTGGCGTGGCGCTGTGGGCTAATGTGTCAGACTGCAAAGTCATTTGAACTGCAAGGTCAGTGGTTCAAGCTCACCAGCTACTCCTTAGAAACCCTATACAGGGTCGCTATGGGTCAGAATCAACTCGAAAGCACTTAACTACAACAACATACATATCTACACACATAACACACACATACTCATAATAATACTGCCCACTAGAGGTGGCTCAATAAAAATCCTAAGTTATGTATAGACCTTAATTGCAGTTACTTTTTCTATCAATTTCCTAAGGTTAAGGAACAATTTGTCCAAATAGAGTAGTAACACTTTTACAGGATGCAGTGGCTTTATACAATAATCACTGTACTGCGAACCACATGGTCAACAGAAGATCCAGCCCACCAACTGCTCTACAGGAGAAATATGTGGCTTTCTGCACTTGCAAAGATGCATAGCCTTGGAAACCCTCTAAAGGGTCACTATGAGTTGGAACTGACTCAAAGGCTCTTAACAACAATAACAAAATCTAACTCAGTTAAAATAATAAAAGGAATTGGCAGGGTTATGGAGTTAGTAACCTTATCCTTCAAATTACGACACTTTGGAAAGTGAAAAAATGCTGTTATTAATAATTATACTGGGAACACAGGCATAAATCAGGGTTTATCCACGCAAACCAGAGCATACGGTCACCCTAGCTATGATGCTAATATGGTTCTAAGAATTTTGCACAGTGCCTAACACTGGGCCCAATATATGTTTATTAAATGCAAAATCAAAGAATGGTCACGAAGACTCTGTTTCTTCTTCATATGTGCAATAACAGATTTCTTGGGAAGAACTAGCCAGCTCTTTTGGAATTATGTTGGCAAAATATGTTTTGGAACATTATCTGCTTGTAGTAATGCTCAACACAAGGCTTATCTCCTGCTGGTTGGCTTTGAAATTGTGTTTGCTGGCTACATCAATAATAGTGGTATTAATTTATGTATGTTCAAAGTCTCCAATATGGATCACATCCTAACATAAAGAAGGCAAACAGCCTCATAACTGGACCAATTAGCAACTTCACAATAAACAAAGGTTGCCAAGGATTTAACTTTACTTGGATCCACAATCAATGGATGCAGCAGTCAGGAAATCAAATGATGTATTACAATGGCCAAATCTGCACAAGACTGCTTTAAAGCGTTAAAAAGCAAAGATATCACTTTGAAGACTAAGGTGCACCTGACCTGACCCAAGACAGCGTATTTTCAGACACCTCCTGTGAAAACTGGTCAATTTGAGTACGGAAGACCAAAGAAAAATGATGACCTGTGAATTATGGTGTTGACAAAGAATATTAAATATGTCATGGACTGCTAGAAGAACAAACAAATCTGTCCAGGAAGAACAGTCAAAATTCTCCTTAGAAGTGAAGCTGGTGAGAATTTGTTTCATATACTTTGGACATGTTATCAGGAGGAAGCAGCCCCTGGAGAAGGAGTAGGTGAAAAAATGGGGGAGCCAACAAGGCAAGCAATTAAGTCCCCTCAGGGCAAATCCCCTTCCAAGACTGAAACTCAAAGGGACTACACCAGCAGGCATGTAATCTTGCTGGTGACCACGTTGGTCAACTGATAAGGGGAAGTGGGGGGAAAACAGCAATGAAGCTGTGAGCTAAGTCCAACCTCGTTCAATAGACTCCTGTCAACCCGGATCGGAAACTGGTTGGCCAGCAGTATTGTAAGGCCTGGGGACTCCTGAGCCCATGGACAGGGACACAGTCACAGAGGACTAGAGCGGAGAATGAAGTTTCTAGCTGATACGAGGTGAGGGGAGATGCACACGAACACCCATACTTGCAGATAGTACCCACTTGACCTAGCTTCAATGGCTAGATGATCAGAACTCGACTAGAGGAAGAAAGAAGGGGGGGGGGGAGTGCAATCCGCTACAATTTGATGAACTTGACCTATACTTATGGATGTAGTCGCTTAAAAAAGGTAATGAGTCTTTACAGCAAGGATCATTCCCATTCCCTCTGCACACAGGATTGATAGGGATGGGCAACCTAAACATTGGCTACTCAAAATGGGGGGTGGGGCGCTACAAAGGCACAAAGTGACTAACTTACAAGCTTTCAAGAGGGAGCCTAGTTCCAGAGGGTGCAGGGGAAGGTAGAATCTCTACTAAGTAGTTTCCAACCTGTCTAGATGGGACTGGTGAAAGGAGAGGGAGATAAGACTCTTGTGGTTCAATAGTGAATAATTGCTATCAGGACTGTTTGTGAATGTTGCAAATGTAAAGGTAGACATTTTGTAACAAAAGGAGGGAAGTGGTTAATCTTGCAGTCCAACAGCAGAGAACCCTGGGACCATCAAGGGAGAAGAGCGGAGTGCGGAACCCTATCTAGAGAAGCAGGGATGCCAGAGATGTAGGCTGAGACAGTGACGTGAGAGGAAGAGTGGCTGGGGACTCTAGACTCAAGGAGGGAGAGGGGCTGTGTGCTGGTGGCCAGGGGGCTGGGGTGCAGGGTATACCCTTTGGTTGTTTGAATGGTTATATATTTCTGAGTGCTTTAGTGTACATCCAACAACAACAAAACAGAGGGATTGGAAGCAAATCAAATGCTGTTGAATGATGATGCATGGAGGGGATTGTAATCATTGAATGAAACGAAATAAGGTAAGATGAATGTAAAGCTGATGCTCTCCCATGTAAACAATTCACACACACATACACATACACAAAGAGTAGGTTAAAAAAGAGGAAGACCCTCAAAGAGATGGATTGACAAAGTGGCTCCAAAAATGGGCTAAAATACAGCAATGACTGTGAAGATGGTGCAGGATTGGACAGTGTTTTGTTCTGTTGGACACAGGGTTGATATAAAGCAGACCCAACTCAACAATAATTCATGTATACCTCAAGAGTTGAGTTACATCAGTAGACAGCAATTTTTGTTAAGATCTTCTCCCTGATTTTTAATTAATATATACTCATGTAGTTCTCAAGGTGTCTAAAACTTCTGACATTAACTTCAAGACCCTTTTTTATGAGTAAGGATGACAATATCAAGATTCAAAAGATGATTAAAATTTAAAAGATAAAATTTAATAGGGGTACATGTAAAATCTTACAGTCTGGTTAAAAAAACGTGTACAACTAAAGGGAGATGGAGACTTAGTTTAGAAAGAAGTCATGTGAAGGCAAACCTCCAGATTAAAACCTTAGGGTTTCAGTTAATTACAAATTCATTATGAACCAACACTACATGGCAGTTAAAAACCTTACAGTAATTTCAGGCTGCATTAATGTCCAAATGTGCAATATGTAGATTCAATTCACCTACACAATAAATATTATTTTCCATTCCAAACACATTTTAGAAGGGGCATTACCAAAGTGTAATGGCCTCAGAGAGCAATCAGGTGATAAAAATTATGACCTAAACCTTGAGGTTAGCAGTTCAGTGCTTTTCCTATAGCACCACACCAGGACTCTCATTTTAATTATACATGAGAATAATCCATAAAGTTTTGCCACAAAATCATAGAAACTTTTATTAAATGAAAATATTAAAAAAAAATTATGTCTTATAAAATTATATCATATAAAGAATAGCTGGAAGAGCTAAAGATGCTTATCTCAAAGTGAAAAAAAATTAAGGGGTGTCATGTCCTCTTTGGAGTCCTGGTGTGGCCCTGTGGGTTAATGCGCTGGACTGCAGTCAGTTTGAACTGCAAGGTCGGCAGTTCAAGCTCACTAGATGCTCCTTGGAAACCCTACACAGAGTTGCTATGGGTTGGAACTGACTTGAGGGCACTTAAAAACAACAACAACAATGTCCTCTTTAGATATTCAAAAAACTATCATTTAGTAAAAAGATTATATTTCTGCATAGCTTGAAGATAAAATTGGAGACAATGAATATAATCCTCCTAATTAGTAGATTTAAACTCAATACTAAGATGAAATTTATAACAATCAATAATTTTACAACAATCCAATGGTGTGATATACTCATAAGCTACAAGGTAACATCACATCACTGGAAGGGACTTCTGTAGGTGTGACTGTAATTGATTAAACATTTCTAAGTCTATAACAACCCTAAGAATGATTGGTCAATATAATCCAAAACATATGAAAATGACCTTCCTTGAAGCGATCACTTTACTTCTCAGGCCAGTTAAAATAGAAGTATAAGATCAAACATCTATTCTCATTTTACAATAATGGGTATTTGTGTGGTTCAAGTAGACACCCC